AGCAGCAATGCAGCGTGCAGTTTCAGTGGCTATTGGGTGGAGCAGGGGAGAGTGAAGACGGCGACGAAAGAACTGCAGGCGAGGCAGAGAGTTAAGACACTTGTGGAATAGGGCAGGAATGGAGGGGATGAGAAGATTACTTGTAGCAGGGAAGCCGGAACTGAAGACTGGTATTTGTTTGCGCATTGATAACAGACTGGCCTGTTAAGTTAGTGATCTGTGAACATGGACATGGAAGAGGCAACGGGCAACGTGGGCAACATGGGGCAGCAGGCGCCGGGCAGTTCAGGAGCTCGCATGAAGTGGGCTTGAAGCAACGGACGTTTATTCTTTGCTCGGGGAAACCAAAAGTGGGAGTGTCAGGAGGAATACACACATAGAAAGAATAGCTGACATGATATCCCAACGGAAAAGCGTTCGACGGGCTGTGACAAGCCGCCGAAGCGTGTCGCACGCCATCGCGCTGATCTGGGCAAAGAAAACTGAAACCCATATGGGCCCGCATGGAATGTGCGATGGAGAAACCCTGAACTCGCGGCGCGGACGGGTTTTCGAGTTTAGGGTTGATGTTTTGCCGAGTAGCATGCCATCCAAATGGATCTTAGATATTTTTGCCGGCATGCAGCCGCTTGGCAGCCACTTATCTGTTGAGACATATGACCCAGAGTGTGCGTGAGTATGGCGCAAGGACCCCATCTCTGATCGGAAGCCTCGCTTGGGTCTTGCTCAGCAGAGGGTTCAGCAGAGGGTTCAGCAGAGGGTTCAGCAAAAACTTACAGCCTCAATGAAGCTGATCCAGATGGGAAAGCGCAGGCGGTGCACGAAGGATTCAGGCATGAATTGGAAGCCCGGGCGCAAGCCGGTGGTGTCCTCAGGCATGTAGTCGGCAGAGAAGTCGTCGCTGATCCACACCGACCGCCCTGGCGTCACCAGAGTAATGTGGCTGTACGGCATGCCCTCATCAGTCCCCCTGGAAGAAAAGGGGTTGTCACCAGAGAGGGAGGGAGGGAGGGAGGGAGGGAGGGAGGGAGGGAGGGATGGAGGGATGAGGGAGGGAGGGAGGGCGGGCGGGAGGGAGGGAGGGAGGGCGGGAGGGAGGGAGGGAGGGAGGGAGGGAGGGAGGGAGGGAGGGAGGGAGGGAGGGAGGGAGGGAGGGAGGGAGGGAGGGAGGGAGGGAGGGAGGGATGAGGGAGGGAGGGAGGGAGGGAGGGAGGGAGGGAGGGAGGAGGGAGGGAGGAGGGAGGGAGGGAGGGAGGGAGGGAGGAGGGGGAGGGAGGGAGGGAGGGAGGGAGGGAGGGAGGGAGGGAGGGAGGGCGGGAGGGAGGGAGGGAGGGAGGGCGGGAGGGAGGGAGGGAGGAGGGGAGGGAGGGAGGGAGGGAGGGAGGGAGGGAGGCAGGGAGGGCGGGAGGGAGTGAGGGAGGGAGGGAGGGAGGGATGAGGGAGGGAGGGAGGGAGGGAGGGAGGGAGGGAGGGAGGGAGGGAGGGAGGGCGGGAGGGAGGGAGGGAGGGAGGGAGGGAGGGAGGGAGGGAGGGAGGGAGGAGGGAGGGAGGGAGGGCGGGAGGGAGGGAGGGAGGGAGGGAGGGAGGGAGGGATGAGGGAGGGAGGGAGGGAGGGAGGGAGGGAGGGAGGGAGGCAGGGAGGGAGGCAGGGAGGGAGGCAGGGAGGGAGACCAGCGATCGAGTCCCAATCAACCATGAGACGTGGCGCAAGTGACAGATGTATTGCAGCATGACTGCCGTGATACTTACCGCTCTCACACTTGCCTACATGAGCGGAAGCAGCAGCAGGTGAGAGACGGAGGGTCAAAATGAAGAGATGAGCAAGGTCGGACAGGTGGGAATTGGATTAGGGAGTCATGCTTTGAAACGGCACAAGCAGGGCAGCAGGGCGAGCCACGTCCAGAGTTTACCAGGTGGAGTAGTTGGCACCGGCAGGCAGGCCAACTGCGCCGATCGTGAGGTGGCTACGCCCGTCATACGTGCCCCTTGTGCCCCCCGTGGTGTTTGCCGGGGAGGGCTCGTCCAGGCACACGGCGAAGGAGCGAGATTCGGCGGTGGTGAGCTGGTTGAGAAAGGGGCTGCCGTAACCCAGCCCCAGCACGCCCCCTGCCGTCCACGATGCGTACTGCGCGCCCTGCAGGCCCCAGTACCCTCCCTGGTTCATGCCACACCTGGTGGTGCAACAGTCAGGAGGGAGGGAGAAGGTGAGGGGGGGAGAACAGGAGATGAAAGGGGAGTGCAAGAGAGGGAGGAAATGAGAGAGGCCAGAGAGAGAGAGAGGGAGGGAGAGAGAGAGAGCCCATAGTATAGAAGGCCGGCTCGCCACTAATGAGCTCATAATTAAGTTTCACCTTCAATTTCTTCTCCAGTTCGGTGGCGGCGCTTGCGACGCGGCCTTTGTCCACACAAGGTGGGGAGGGGAGGGGAGTGACGGCATTATCAAGTACACGGGAAGAATGTACACACTCCTAAGACACGGAGAGCCTAGCCTAGCAAAAACCTATGGCAACGGCGCCCCAGGAGGTGCATGAGCGCTGAGAGCGGCTCCAACCTGCCGCCGACCGCCCACCTACCCCAGCCCAGCCACCGCCCACTGCACCACCGCCCCCTCACGACACTCCAGCATGCAGAGCACCGAAGCGAGGGGGGCAAAAATCGTTGGGCGCATGTTCACCACCAACGCCCGTTTCAATTCATCGACAGCACTGGTAGCAGAATCCAGCTCCCTCGCCTCTCCTCCTGGCGGCAGGCCATAGGCCAGCCGCCATAGGAGCAGCGACGCTACCTCCATAGCGCGGCGTTGGACAACGCTCACGAACGGGGAGCAGCCCTCACGCACGGGGAGCAGCCCTCACGAACGGGGAGCAGCCCTCCCGAACGGGGAGCAGCCCTCACGAACGGGTGCAGCCCTCTTGAACGGGGAGCAACCACCCTCCTGGGGCACCTCACGGCACTGATAAATGCAGCGCAAGGACCCTGTAGGCACCTGTATAGAAGCTTTACCACCAGTCAGGGGGTGTGTGAAGGGGAGGGGAGAAGGGAAAACTGAAAATTTGTGGAAGCGCACCCAAAGGTGATGGTTCGGTTGACCTCGGTGCCATCGGGTGCAGTGAGGTGCACAGTATCCTCCACCACATGCCCCACAGATAAAATAGGGTCATTGTTGTCCACGTCGGCTTCGTAGTAATCGAAATCTCCAAACCCAACACCGTAAACGCAGAGCGCATCATCCCCCGGCAGCCAGTCCGTGAGGTTGAAGTAGTTGGGAGCTCCGTCCGCGTTGCAGCCGTAACTGGTGTCGCTAGCCCCCTCACTGCAGCGCTGGTCGGTGCAGGAGATGTAGTTGAGGGAGTAGGACGAAAGCGTGCTGAAGGGCCGGCTGTAGGGCGTCTGGGGGAGAGAGAGAGAGAGTGAGAGAGAGAGAGAGAGAGAGAGAGAGAGAGAGAGAGAGAGAGAGAGAGAGAGAGAGAGAGAGAGAGAGAGAGAGAAAGAGAGGGAGACATGGAAGGCAGATTTCAAGAAATGCAGTACACAAGGAATTCGGCGTGATTCTCTCTGTCCACCGTCTACGACGCATGCCACTCTCACTCGCCCACGCCATTCTCGCCGCCCCCCTTGCTCCCTCCCTTACCTGGTGTAGCACTCACCCCCACACGCATGGTCCCGCATTTGACGCAGTCGCAGGGCACCCAGGTGAAGGGCAGAAAGAGGTTGAGCGCCATGGTGAACAGCTGCCGCTGCGACCCCAGCCTCACCTGCACGTAGTAGGGGTACACGCTGGAAGGGGGGAGGGGAGGGCACGGGAAGGGCACATCGGGGGGGTTCGGATGGGAAAGGGAGAGCTGGGAATCAAGGGGAGTGAGTGGCGGTAGCATGGGCTGGTGGCCGACAGGTGGGGCATGAGCCCTTGATAAGCCATGGCGTTTGCTTGAGGTGAGTCCAAGAGGAGGGGGAAGAGCAGGGCATTTGGTGTTGGCACAAAGCACGAGATTGCAGAGCGCGATTGGAAACAAGGATGAGGATCAGCTAGAATGGATGAGATGTTACAGACGTTATTGTGGTGTGGGGGTGTGATATGACACGATGAAGCTTGTATGTATGTACGGGAGGCGAATGGTGTCGTTGGCGAATGTGCTGTAGTTGACCAGCGTGTTGCGCACGCTGCCATTGACCGTCGCCACAAGCGTGTCATCGTATACAAGCTCTGGCAGAAAGCTGGCGTCCTGGGACGAGGGAAATGAACCAACAGGCCGACACAGGGGTGGCCCAGCATGAGGAAACGCGAGGAGAGATATGGGGGTTCGTGAAGTCATCTAGAAACGGCATTATCCAACAAGAAGAGGCGAGCAGAAGCGGTATAGCAAAAGGGAAGCGGTAGAGCAGAAGAGTTTGCTGCAGCAACACCGTCCACAATAGATGGCAGCAATAGGATGGTGCGTGTGCTGTGCTGGCAGTACTGAATGGATGACCGCATGGTGCCACCCACAGTAGTGCAGTGTGGGCTGGCCACTCACTCTAGAGATCTGCCGGCGCTCGCCGTCCTTCTTAAAGCCGCCCCCAATGCCCTGCACAGAGCACACATTGTTGGGGGGACACGTGGGGGGAGACGTGCGGGGAGACGTTGGGGGAGACGTGGGGGGAGACGTGGGGGGAGACGTGGGGGGAGACGTGGGGGGAGACGTGGGGGGAGGGACGAGGCCAAGGAGGGAACGGGAGTCGGGTGGAAGGGGAGGAGAGGGGTGGGTGGGGCACGAAGCGAAAGAGATAGAGGATTGGGGGAGACGACGGGGGCGTTCCCACTTCTTGACTTGGGTATCCCTCAACGGGGAGGACATACCCATGCCCCAGGTCCTATCAAAATGAGTAGCAAATGAGGTCCCAAGCAAGACGGAGCAAAATTTTCCTCACTGAAATTAGTCCGATTCAACAGCAGGTAATTGGTGGTGCCTACTAGGCCATCCTTGTGCAGGGCCGCAGGGCGTATCAACCGTTCAGTCTCTCCGCAGTGCAGCGACAGCAACTCCACCCCTCGCGGTGTCTAGTTTTGAGGCGCCTCAAAACGAAACTTGTCCCTGACTCACTTGTGATTCTTGTAGAATCCGCCGGTGCACCTCCTCCCTGCTGGGGGCGTCTTCCGCGCGCTGCAGGGGGAGGAAGCGCGCGCCTGCCTCAGCAGAGCGCCGCACCCACTCCGCAATCGCCGACTCCGCGCCATCCTGATCACTTCCCGATCCCGCCGCTGCGGCGGCTTCCCCGACGACGCGGCGAGGCGGTACTACTTCCGTCTGCCAATTGACGGGCCAGCGTGAGAGAGGCACGGTCCGGTCGGGAAGCAGAGAGGGAGTTAGACTAGTCATTGGAGAAGAGCGCGAGACTCCGGGAAATTCCGAAAAGGCGAATCAGACACTCATCCTCCTGCCTGGCAGGCCGTAAATGGGCCGGCGGCAGCAGACTTGACAAGTTTCGACCATGGATGCATGGATGGATGGATGGATGGATGGATGGATGGATGGATGGATGGATGGATGGATGGATGGATGGATGGATGGATGGATGGATGGATGGATGGATGGATGGATGGATGGATGGGGCTTGAGCCTGCCTCTCATGGAACGATGCGATCGATAAGGAAAAGCCCGTCTTGTTCGGACCCCCTTCCTATAGATTCATTTTCGAACCCTTGGAATATTTCTGGACGTGGTTCCTCGTGCTGCAGCGCGGCGAACGCGTCGGCGCCTCGGCGTCCAGCACAACTAGAATCATCATCGGATCGATCGACTGCCGCGGCGTACCTCGGGTGACTGGGACGCAGCGACATGATCCGCGACTTGGGAATGATGTCGGACGTCCGCGACGCTAATGGCCGGAGCGCGTGAGTGGGTCCGCACGACGGCGAGGGAGAGAATCAGCAGGAGCGCGAGCAGACGCGGCGAGGCGGCGGCACGGCACGGGAAAGCCGCGGCGGCGGCGGCAGGGGAGGCTGGCGACAATGACCGGCGGGACGAGAGAGGCGCCGGAGGACAAGTCGCCGGCCTCGTTCTAGAGGCCGCGCGGGCGCAGGAAGGGGACGCAGCCGCCATTCTATTCTGGAACCAGCAGTACTAGTCGTGGTAGCCACGGGGAACGGGCTCGTGCTCTGCGCGATCTGAGTGGTCACGATGGTACCCCGCGGACTGCCACTGCCACTGCCACTGCCACTGCCACTGCCACTGCCACTGCCACTGCCACTGCTACTATTAGGAGTGTGCTGCTGCTACGGAATGTGGTGGGCGACGAGATACAGGCTCCACTAGTAGTTTTTTTTTTTGGGGGGGCCTTTAAGGAGATCCCAGGAGGAAACCAGGCCCCCTTTCCCACGCCGATCCACCTAAGCTCCGCTAGTAGTGCTAAGGAGCAGAGCGCCACTCCGCGTTCTACCACGCCAGCGGCGGCGGCCTCTCAAAAGGCAGCAGGTCATTCATTCCCGTGGTCTCGCAGCTCCGCGCCAGGAAGCCTGTCGGCCTACGGTACTAGGGAAGGTACTGTGCAGATGTCTGAATCGGAATTCTACTGACTCTGGCTCGGAGCCAGGTGTCGAAGCACGGTTCATCCCAACGCAGAGGTGGTTGGGTGGCTGGCTGCTCCCGCCCGCGCCTGCCCGGCCGTCTCGCGCAAAGCCCTCCTCCCCGACTCCTGACTCCAGAGTCTAGTCCAAGCCTCGCTCGAACCTTGCTTGGCTGAACGAGCAACGCGACGGGCACCATGGCTCGAATTGACCACGATGACGACTCGTCAGGGGGAGGAGGTACCGGGGGGGGGGAGAGAGGGGGAAGAGGGGGAGGGATCATTGCGCGAGACTGCACCATGGTCCAAACCGAACTCCCGAACCTAACGCAAGCGTCTGCTGTACGTGTCCCTAAACCCCGGCAGGGTGGACCTTGTGCAGGCAGCCAGCCACATGCACGCATCGCACCGATTCAGCGAGCTACAGTGCGGATGAGAGATGATCATGCGAGTGCGTGTCGGGCCTGTCAACATGTGCAGTACAGAAGTCATGCTGCTGTTGTAGCGATGGCGCGGCGAGACTGCAAGACGTTATTTTTGTGTTCTGGAAAAAATGGCACCCAAGCTTTCAACCCAAGCCTCTCGCCCTAAACTTTTCACCCATGCATGCAACCAGCCCTACTTCGTTAGAGGGCTTTGTGGCGATGTTGCACAGATGCAGGGTACGGCTGGCAGGGATAACAGGAGATACTAAAATCTGCAATACGAGAAGTACATCAATACAAGGGGCTCGAACTTGGGAGTTGACAACAACGCCCACAGCCAAGGCTACAGCAATGAGAACTGCCATTCTGTTCTACTCTTTTATGTCCAGTGTGCAATCACGCCTATTCCACCCATTGATGGAGTCAAGGACGGAACTCATGAATGCCGACTCCACGTTATAACAGAAGTCATGTGATCGTAAATGCCGGAAAAGCTTTACATCCAGGGAGTGTGTCAAGTGGTGTAGAGAACTATCCAGGTGATAGTGTAACCTACAAAGAGGACAAGACCACAAACAATGTCTATGTTGACCGCAAGCCGATAGTTCCCTTCCTTGGCTCTGTCAGGGTTGGCTTGCCTCACATGGTAGCCAAACAGCCGAAATCTCTGCAGTGTGGGGGGGGGGTGAAGAAGATACCGACACCAATAGTTGGGGAGAGGTGGTTCGGTGTGATAGGAACAAGGGGAACCCTTACGTCACAGCTTCAGGGAAACACTACAGGGGCACAGAAGGGAGGGACCCAGGCTGCAAGGTGATTCCAACAAGACGTAGCAGCAGATCCAGCAGTACATACCAGCAAGCCCGGGACGTTCTTCTTCTGCTTCTCCTCAGCCGCAGCAGCCCTCCTCTCGGCAGCAGCATCAGCAACGGCATCCACCTCCGTGCTCTCAGTTTGCTCCACACCTTCTTCCGCCTCCATCAGCTTCTCGCTTGCTGCCTTGTCACTAACGCTGAACGCCCTGGTCATTGCGGGCGGCAGGTTCTCGAGAACGGTCTCCTGGACGTTCTTCTCGATGCGCTCGGCGATGGCGAAGACAATGAGGGCCTCCATGGTGCAGAACCAGATGACCACGTAGGAGACGATCATCAGATAGCCGAAGTTGGTGATGGCGGATGTGCGTGGGAGCTGAGGGTAGAGAGGGTGGGGGGGAGGGACAGGAGGATGAGTGTGTGCAGCAGGTGCGAGGAGCGTAGCAAAAAGGACAGAGAAGAAGGCGATGGAGGGACGGTGAAGGGCAGCATTCGATGACGTGATGGGCCACACGACACGAGAAGGATGCATGGGCTCACACAGAGCACGGCAGGCGGGTTCTGTCTAGTCTTGGGCGTGGCAATGAGCGAAGGGCCAAGGGGCCTGACCTGGCTGTCGATGACGAACTGGATGGCCGGCATGTGTATAAGAGGGGCTACGAGGTGTTGTTGGTGTGACAAGCGGCCTGACCTGGCTGTCGATGACGAACTGGATGGCCGGCATGTGTATAAGAGGGGCTACGAGGTGTTGTTGGTGTGACAAGCGGCTTGACCTGGCTGTCGATGACGAACTGGATGGCCGGCATGTGTATAAGAGGGGCTACGAGGTGTTGTTGGTGTGACAAGCGGCCTGACCTGGCTGTCGATGACGAACTGGATGGCGGTGAGCGCGAGGAAGAGCGTGAGGCAGGCACCGGAGCGAATCTCAAGATCCTCCGGCTTGGCAACGAAAGACGTGAAGGTGAGGTACACACTGAGGATCACCGGCATGAGGATCTGAAAAGAGGAGAGGGAGGGAGGGAGCGGGGGGTGGGAGGGCAGCATGCAGACAGGGAAATGAAGAACCTGACCTGACAGGGTGAAGCGGTGCGACAGCGATCAGCACTTGGGGATGGGGCGGCCAGAAGCATGGCAGGCGTAATAGCAGGGGGTAAAGTGATGAGATTATGAGAATTCTCAACAGGCTGAATCGAGAGTCAAGATGACCGAGGAGTGGGTGGAAATGGCAGCAAGCACGACCAAAGAACCGAGCCAGCAGCGAAGTTAGGATCCACATAATGGATGACGGGCAAGAGATCACCCAACCAACCCAGACAGGCTCAGGGGCGAAGGGAGGGAGACGGAAGATGCATAAAGTAAACAAATGAAGGTACATTTCTGGGAGAAGTGCTGCTGATGAGTGAAATGGCAAGAGAGGTACCGACCGAAATGACGTAGACAGCGCTGGTGCGCTGGATCTGGATGGTGAAGATGCACGTGGTGCTCTGGTTGCTCGCACTGCCATCTCCTCCACTGCCCGAGCTGGCAGGGATGGCGTTCCACGGGTCCTCTGAGAGGAGGGCGTTGGGGGGGATGGGGAATGGATAAGCAGGCAGAGGGCAGATGTGAGCAATGGGGCATGTTTGAGGAGAAGAAGAGGTTTGAGAAGCGGGAGAGATGAGGGGTGTGTGAGAAAGGAGGGGTGTGAGCAAAGGGAGGGGTGTGAGCAGTGAAGCGCGGAGTGGTCTCGAGAATGCTCTGACTGACAGGAAGGAGGTTTCGGAGTGCTGTTGACGCTGAAATTATGCATGCATGCAGGGCAGAGTGTGTGTTTGGGAGGGGGTGAAGGAGCTCAACATCGGCTTCAATGTGGTCAGCTTCTTCCAACACACACCCACCCGTACACACAGGCCCACCCACCCAACCACCCACCCACCCAGGCACCCACCCAACCACCCAACCCCGGCCCCCCACCCCCTCGCCCCCCACAACCCCCCCCCCTTCTCCCACCTGGATGGTAGGTGGCGGAAGTGGCGACGGTGGTCTGAGCAGGATTGCAGTCGAGAGCCACACTTGTGATCTTCCACCCAGTCACCTCGTCATTCACAAACGAGCCCCCCCCTCCCCCCAGCTGCCCGCCCCCCTGCTCTGACTTGCGGCCTGAGTTGCTGCCCACCAGGTAGAAGCCACTGCCCTCCACTGACACCGTTAAACGCAGGGTCTGTGGTTTTTTTGGGGGGTGGAGAGAGAGGGGGGAGGGGAAAGATGCAGCAGGACAGGAAGGGGAGGAGGAGAAAGGTTGGGAGAAAGGAGGGGCGGCGCTGGCCGTGCGCACATGTTGCAAGGAGACGTACAAGGAGAGGCAAGGTAGTGGCAGGCAGGCAGGTCATGAGGAGAGCATTGGGGAATGTACATCTGACGGTGGGGTATTCCAAAGGGACCAGGAGGTGCAACCAGAAGAGTAGGTAGCGCCTAGAGCTACGCAGGAGCAGTTGAAGGACATGGCGGGGCAAGGACATGGCGGGGCAAGGACGCGGCGCTTACCTGGGAGTCAAAGGGGAAGTTCTGGAAGGTGAAGGGGGAGGAGAAGGTGCCTGCAGAGGGAAGGAGAGAGACATAGATGATGATGGTGGCAGGGAGGGAGAGAGAGAGGGAGAAGGAAGAGACAGAAGTAGAGCACGGTTGGGAAGCAGACAGAAAGGACGACGAGCACGTGTGGAAGAAGGCAGAGGAAAGAAGCGCCTGGAGCACGCGAGCGAGAACATAAATATGTCCGTACCCTCGAGAATGGCCTCTCTGTCCACGGCACTGGCATCATTGCTGTAATCCCCGAAGAAGAATATGCTCTCTGCCAGCACCGGCAGGCGGGCGGGGGGGGGGGCAAGGGCAGGGAAGAGAAAAAAAGGGTTATGGAAGAGGTGAAGTGGGCGTGAGAGGCATCAGCGACCCACGTGTGAGAGGCATCAGTGCGCGGGGGCCCGTGCCATGCTGGGCTGCTGAGGAGCCTACCTGTGTATGGGGTCAAGGCACCACCCTCCACACAAGGCAAATGAGGTGATGCAAGCAGCATTCCCCCAGCATGGCCCAAGCTCACCAGTTTGGTATCTGTCTTGCGGGTAGAGGATGACGTTGGGGATGGTGAGCGAGGGGATCCAGATGGAGTCGCAGCACGTGATGCCGGCAGGCGTGCATGGCTTGCTGCAGCCGTCCATCTGCGGCAGATTGTTCTGCACCCCGGGGGTGGACGGGAGTGGGATGAAGCGAACAGGCCAGAAAGCAGAGAGGAAGAAAAACAGGCATGGATGAGTGTATTATGTTGTAAGGGAAGGCAGCAGGTGAGGATGAGGAAAGGGAATCTGGCAGCGGAAGAGAGGGAATGAGGCCATGGGCCGGTTGAAGAGGTGTTGGCTGAGCTTGACGAGTCCAGACGGATGGGCGAGGGTCACTGCTTCGCCAGCCCCATTTGCTCATGCCCATCATGCCCCGTCTCCCTTTCCTGGAACCCCCCGCCCCCCCCACTCCCCCTTCTATTTCATTTTTCCTCACGGCCCCGTCTCCCTTTCCTTGCGCTTCCCACATTATTCGCATCCCCTGCGCCACCTGCTTGTTGTTCTTGAGGCAGTCGTCCTTCTGGCTGATGTTGAAGCCCGATAAGGTCACGTTCGGCTTGCATTTCTCCGTCGCCTGCCACGTCAGCGCGGGACCCATGGCCGTCAGCGCCTTGTTGATCGCCACCGTGTCGTTCACTGCACGCACGCCATGCCATGCCACGCCACGCGGCGAGATGCCAGATGGAGAAATGTGGGGCACAAGCGTGAGTGACCCAATCATAACGCGCGTATCGTCGTAGCGGGGCGGAGATGGGGGAGGTGGGGAGGGAGTAGGGATGGAGATGATTAGGGGGCAACGAGGCGGTGGCATGCCATGGCACGGCGAGGCCAGGCCAGGCCAGGCCAGGCCAGGCGAAGTGCACGAGGGGGACGGAGCACGCACCTCTGGGGTCGCGCCACGTGACGACGACGGCGAAGTAGGCGCTGAAGCTGTACTGGATCTCTGCGCGCCATGCAAGCCAATGGAGAGGAAGGGGGGGCACGGAAGAGGAGACGGGACGGAAACATGAAAGTAACTCGTGGGAACAGCCGGGCCGTGTGATTGCCTGGCGGAAACGGGCCTAGGTAGCATTGGCAGCGAAACAAACGATGAGACGGGGCGACTTGGCGTACCGTCGACGGCGATGAGCTTTTTGAGCAGCACGGAGAGGTAGACGGGCGTCTTGTCGGCCGCCAGCCCCGCCGTGTACGGGTCAATGCCCTGCCCCACCAGCGGACAGTCCGTCTGCGCCGACGCCCTCCGCACTCCGCCGCGCTCGCCCCCCGGCGCCAGGAGCGCGAGAAGGAGCAGCAGCAGCGAAATCGACGTTCGTGGAGAAGACATCTGCGGAGACCAACTATGGCACGGTCGCGACGCGGCGGCACGGAGGCCCGCGACGACCGGCGAATCCGTAACAATGAACTGCGAACGGCCGAGAATCCGACTGTATCTCGGAATAGGAGAACGTGGAAGGGGGCCGGGCGAGGTTACCGAGCGATACGATTGCTCCTCGAACGCGGCTTGGCTTGTTGGCTGTGCAGGGACGCCAGGAATGTATCGCTGCAGGAACGTCGAGAACAACGAGCGGCAGGGAGTGGATTGTGTCGGTGCGAAAGATGCATTGCGAGGGGCGCTGACTTGTGACAACGAAAGGGTTGGGGGGGGGGCGGGGGGGTTGGGGTGAGGGAAGGGGGAAAGGAAAGGGGGGAAGCGACACCAGGGGAATCGTGAAGGTGATGGCTTCGGTTTGGCTCAAATCGGGATGTGGTTTGAGGCCAGGTGTGTCAGGCTGGTGCTTGGTCCCCCATACAACTTTCGTTCCCAGACAAACAGTTTCGCGGCAATTCAGCTCAACGGTCCGAATGGTCGGCTAAGAACTTTCCAAGATGAACAGAATCGGTGAAATATATTTGAAAAGGGAGAAAACCACGCATCTGGATTATTAGATGATATTTCTAGTCTAATTTTCCAAACCTGGAAATTCAGGAATTTTTTAACCCTGAACTACCAGCTCCGCTAAACAAAACATCTAAAGCCGGCGCACAACTGTGCAGCAGCACGACCTGTCTCACATCCCAAACGTCGTCCAAGTCCCACTAGGGTGATCAGGCTCGGTAGCCGCCAAGCCACAAATCCAAACCAAAACACAGCACGGGATGCTTCCCAGGCTCTACTCAAACCTCGCAACCGTATGTCAGCGCCGCCAAACCATTTCCCCAAACCATCCCAGCCAAGAAGCAAGGTTGAAGCATCTGTGCGTTACTTCCGCCTTTCCCCCATCCTCCCCCCCCTGCGAATGCCCTTCCCATTCCCATCCCGTCCCCCGCACGCGCCACGGCCTTCCATCTCTGCCCTTCTCTGCACTTTACCCATCCATGGATCTCCTTCCCCCTCCACCCAGCTCACACGTCCCAACTTCAAACCGTCATTCGGCAGCACTCCCCCCAAACATCCCTCACCGCCCCTGTGACCAAAAGTGACGCAAGGGAGTAAAATCCCGCGCATTGCACCCGAGTTTTCGAGTCTCAAAGAGTCGTACGCCAGACTGACGCCATGGCGGCGCTTACTACCGCTGGCTGGAGGGAATCGTCCACCGTGCTGCTCCTCGCCATCATGCTCCTTCCATGGACCGCGTATCGCGGCGACAATCACGGAGGCTTTCAGCTCGTCGCGGCGCAGACGGACTGCCCGCTGATCGGGCAGGGCATCGACCCGTACACGGCGGGGGTTGCGGACGAGAAGCCGAAAGTGTTTCTTTCGGTCCAGCTCAAGAAACTCATCAGCGTCGACGGTGAGACGCAGACGCTCGACACCGTTGCACGCACGCACGCGCGCACGCACGCATTCGCACATACAGACGGCGCACGTTTGGGCGCGCGTACGTACCTACGCACCGCTAATCTTTTCCCGACCTCCATTTTCTTCTCCCTCTCCCTGCAGCCGTCAAGTACAGCTACCTGGCGTATTTCCAAGTCATCACCACCTGGAGAGACCCACGAGGTGCGCGTTCCGCGCTCCTACTACTCCCACTACTACCGGCCTCGCTCTCCGCGCGTCCCATCTTCCGCATGTGGTGCCATGCCGGGACGTTTGTCGTCCATACGGGAATTAGTAATGCCCATTGCTGCGCGTTGATATTCGCCGGGTGTGGCGTTGGGGATTCCCTGGCGGCGGGGCCCAAGAGGAGAGTTTTCTCGTTGTCTTGCGTATGCTGTTGTGACTCGGTGCGCGGTTGCAGCTCATTGCGTCGTTCTCGTCGCCAAGCTACGTGCTTACTATGGTGATGGTGATGGTGATGGTGATGGGGATGGTGATGGTGATGGCGATGGCGATGGTGATGGGGATGGTGATGGTGATGGTGATGGTGATGGTGATGGGGATGGTGATGGCGATGGCGATGGTGATGGTGATGGCGATGGTGGTGGTGATGGTGATGGTGATGGTGATGGTGATGGCGAGCATGAGGGTGATGAAGCGATGGTTTGGTTGTCGGCTTGCAGCCTTTCGTGTTGCATGCTCCCCTCGCATGCGTGTGTGTGTGATTCATTATCCTCCATACTGTTTTGTCATTCTGCACTGTGCCTGTGCCTGTGCCTGTGCCTGTGCCTGTGCGTGCTGCCAGTGAACGACACGGTGGCGATCAACAACGCCATCAACGCGTTTGGTCCGAGCCTCACGGAGCTCGCGACAGAGAAATGCAAGCCCAACGTGACCTTATCAGGGTTCAACATCAGCCAGAACGACGACTGCCTGAAGAACCGCAAGCAGAACAACCTGCCGCAGATGGACGGGTGCAGCAAGAAGTGCACCCCATCGGGCACCATGTGCTGCGACTCCATCTGGATCCCCTCGCTCACCATCGACAACGTGCTCTTCTACCCGCAGGACCGCTTCCAAACAGGTCTGTTGACTCAGCATGCTGGTGAGGTGACACATGCTGCGTACTTTTGCATCTTCCTACCATTACGCTGGTCGGCCTCAACTTAGAGTCCAGTCTCTTCCGGATCCTCGGCAACCCCTGTTCCCCCCACTTCGTTTTCTCTTGAACATAGTTTTTCACTCACTCTCTTCTTCCTCTCCGCCCCCCTCCCCCCTCCGTTCTCCCCACACGCCTCCCTCCTTCCCCCATCCCACACCCTAAATCCGTCCCTGCCGTGCCTCCCTGCGCCTCCCCCCTGCGTGCGCCCCACAGAGAGCATCTACTTCTTTGGGCAGTACAGCAACGAGTTCAGCTCTGTCGACAGAGAGGTCGTCGTGGGAGGTGTGCCTCTGATCTCCTCCCTCGTCCTTCCACCTCTCCTCCCACCCACCAGTCGTCCCACTCACCTCTCCTCCCACCCCTCTTCCCACTCACCCCTCCACCCTCCGATCCTCCTCACCTTTGTCCTTTCTCCCTTCCTTACTGGTATTGAATAGCGTGCTCTCTTTCTTCCTCGCCCGTGCACTCCACACTGCTGCTATCTTCAGCGGCTGTATTTGTGCAGCCCATGTCTCTCCGTTAAGCTCACACGTTCTTTGCTTGTGTGTCTGTTCGTGTTGTGTTGGGCGGGGGGGAAAGGGGGTGATGTGTGTGTGTGTGTGTGTGTGTGTGTGTGTGCGTGCGTGCGTGTGTGTGTGAGTGAGTGTGTGTGTGTGTGTGTGTGTGTGTGTGTGTGTGCGTGCGTGCATGTGTGCATGTGCATTCGTCCGTGCCTGCGTGCATTTGCTTATGTGACAGGCGAGTTCTCCTCACCTCTCAACTTTAAAAGGTTTCCTATTGACACTCAGGTGAAGCTCTAACACATTCTCATTGGACATCGTTTATGTCCCTCTCACACACACACACACATACACAATCACACACTTCTCCATCCCTCCCTCCCGCACTCCCACTCCCGGCAGACGCTGCGGCTGAGCATTCAGGTGGAGAGCGGGGAGTTTTATCTGGTGCAGAGCAACTCAGGGCGCGAGTCAGAGCAGGGGGGGGGGCAGCTGGGGGGGGGGGGAGGCACGTATGTGAATGACGAGGTGACCGGGTGGAAGATCAACAGCGTCGCGCTCAACTGCACGCCTGCTGCCACCACCGTCGCCACCACCGCCACCTACGCGCCCGGTAACCACCTACACGCCTGGTAGCCACCTATGCGCCTGGTAACCACCCACGGGCCTGGGAACCACCCACGGGCCAGGTGACCACCCACGCGCCCGGTATGCACTTGGTAACCACCGACCTGCCTGGTAACCACCTATGCGCCTGGTAACCACTTTCTCGCCTGATAACCACCCACCTGCCTTTTATCCACGTACGCCCGCTGTAACCACCGACGCGCCTGGTGAGCACCAACGCGCATGGTAACCACCCATTCCCCTGGTAACCTCCCACGTGCATGACAACCACCTACACGCCTGGTAACCACCCACGCGCTTGGTAACCACCCACGCGCCTGGTAACCACCCACGCGGCTGGTAACCACCCACGTGGCTGGTAGCCACCAATGCACTGCCTTGTAACCAACACGCCCGGTAACCTCCTACAAGGCTAGGAACCAACCACCTATGCTCCTGGTAACCATCTATGCTCCTGGTAACCACCTATGCTCCTGGTAACTGCCTACGCTCTCGGTAACCACCTACACTCTTGGTAACCGCCTATGCTCCCAGTAACCACCTACACCTCACCTCTCGGTAACCACTCAAGCTCCTGGTAACCACCGCTGGCATGTAGTAATGTGCCCAGGAACTCTTGGTAGGTCGTTTTGCCAACCGGAATGACAAAGTGTACGGTGTGTGCCGCTCGCATTGTGTTGCGCAGACGACCCCTGGACCGCATTTTCCCAGAGCTCCTCCTCGTCATCCGATGCGGCCAGCACCAACCAGTCCACGTCGTGTGTCTTTACCATCCAGGTCTCCCGCACCAGCGGCGTCTTCATCATCTCGGTATGCCTCCGCGACCCTCACTCGCTATCTCCCCATCGTCGTCCACAGTTCTTCCTTTTATCCCACTCGCACGTGCCCTCACTATCCCACTTTTATCCCACTCGCTATCTCCCCATCGTCGTCCTCGTTGCCCTGTGCCTCTTCCCCTGCTCCATCCCTCCACTACTTTCTCTGCTCCCCACCTACCTCCCTCTATCTCTTCTATATCTAACTCCAGCCAAGCCTCGCCCCTTGCACTCCTGGTGTCTTCCTCCCCTGCAGATCATTGTGCCGGTGCTGCTGAGCGTGTATCTGTGCTTCTCGGTGTTCTTCGCTAAGCCCGACGACCTTGAGACTCGATCCGCCACCTTCGTCACGCTCTTTCTCGCCCTCGCAGCGGTGCAGTTCGTCATCGACAGCCAGGTGGGCTCAACGGTAGCTAGGCGCATGTCCACTCCCATGCACCCACACGTGCAGTTCGTCATCGACAGCCAGGTGGGCTTGCCTTGCTTGCTGTGCAGGTGCCCACGCCCTCTGTGTGCAGCAGTGACGCAAAAGGGGACAGCTGGTCTTCCATTGGAGCTCATTCTGAATGCCTTGGGGCTCGCATAATTCTCTGGCAAAGGGCAAGCGACACGCGGGAGACTGCCTCGCTCCTTGTGTCACATCTCATTCTGCTCAACCTCCAACCACTTTCTGGTCCATCCCCCCCGCCCACTCCTGTTCTTCTCAAACCCCCCCCCCTCTCCCCCCCGCACCCCTTTCCCCACCAGCTGCCGCGGTCGTCCGCCATAACGCAGTTTGGCTATCTGGTCATCATCTCCTACGTCTTCATTGTGCTCACCGCCGTGGAGACCCTCATCGTCTACCTCATCGCCGAACGGGTGAGCTCCGTGCTGCCTCCTGTGTGGACTCTTGCTGCTGTGCCTCTTGATGATGTCCATCCCTGCTTGGCAACTTGCAAGAAACACCAATCATGCCACCTACGTACGTACGTACGTACGTACGTACGTACGTACCTACCTACCTACCTACCTACCTACCTACCTACCTACCTACCTACCTACCTACCTACCTACCTACCTACCTACCTACCTACCTACCTACCTACCTACCTACCTACCTACCTACCTACTTACCTACCTACCTACCTACCTACCTACCCACCTACCTATCTCCCCAGTGCCCCACTAACTCCCCGAGCCACCCCCGCCCTCCTTGCCTGGACTCCACTTCCCCTCGTCTTCATTCCCCCCCCACCCCTTCCCCCGCTACCCTTTCTGCCACTGGCATGCTCTCATGCCTGGTCTTCCGCATTCTTCCCATGCGTCTGTGAGCAGCTGGAGAAGGATGTGGTTGAGGCTGTTGGGGACCTGGGCACCATGGGCATGAAGAACGCAAAGAACCCACCCTTCTCTCAGCAAGAGGCGCAAAGCTCGCAGCAGGCTGAGCAAACATGCTCCTTTGGGGCAAGCAAGAATGGCGGCACAGGGGAGGAGAGTGAGGAGCTTCGCCCTGCTGTGACAGAGGAGGAGGATGGGGGAGAGGGGGGGGACAGTGTTGGTGCAGTTGGCAGTGGAGACGGAGTGAGGTTTCAATCGGCGAGCCTAAACCCCAAGAGGACGCCACTCACGAGAGCAGAGAGTCACCACTGGGTGAGTTGGTGCCACTGCCAGAGTGCATGGTTGGTGGTTATATGCTGTTCTTTGCTTGATTGCATGGCTTTCTCATCTGCATTGTGCGTTGTTGACAAGGTGTTGGCATGCCATGCCATGAATTTTACATTTGCCTCCTCTGCCACTAGTACGATCCGCTTTTTTTATGCCTAGTAAACGTTTGCTTCCTCTATTCCTACTTCCCTCTGTATCTTGTACAGAAGCTCAGCCTCTTCGGCTACCGCTTCAAGCCCATCGACAAGGAGCACGCAAGTGACGGCAATTATCTCCTGGCTGTTAGAATTGACTTCGTGTGCTGTGTTCTATTTTTTGTTGGCTACACTCTCACTGTCATCCTTCTCTACACTCTCTAGATGCACATCAGTGAGAATGTTTCAATAAGTGCCATATGTTGTTTCGGTGGAACAGATGTCTTTTACAAAATTGCTTCTTGAGTCACGAGGGAGCGCATTAACTAAGTGATTTGTCAACAAATATAAGTGTCTATGCTAGGTACAGTATATTTGTTATAGCCTTAGTTAGGTCAGTTCTTAGAGGGTACATTCCCACCTTTGTAACCCTCAGCCTTCCTCCCTTAGTCTTTTTTCTCTCGACATTCTAACATGGCATCTAGAGCTAGGTCTCGCCCTCTACTCACGCTTCCGCCCTAGCACACCCTAGCCTCGCCCCTAGTTGCGGCCTTGTATATCGTCCCCTCCCCGCCCTCCTCTGCTCGTCGCGTAGCTCGCGTCGGCTAGCGCCATCCGCCACCAGCTAGTGCCGACCAGCGCCAGCCGCCGCTAGCCCGCACCACATAGGCGCCTTCGTTAGTCGCCGATCCCCCCCCCTTGCTCGATCGTAGCTCGTCCCTGACGCCAGCGCCAGCCAGCCCACCAGCTCGCCAGCGCCAGCTCACCTGCGTTAGCCAGCACCAGCTCGCCAGCACCAGCTCGCCAGCACCAGCTCGCCAGCATTAGCCCCTGCCAGCAGTTTGCCGCCAGCGCCAGCTAGCCAGCCCCCAGCTAGTGCCAGCTAGCTCGTGCCAGCTAGCTGCTAGCCGCCAGCGCCAGCACGCCAGCGCCAGCTTGTCAGCGCCAGCAAGCATTCACAAGCACCAGCCAGCTAGCCAGCGCCAGCTCGCCAGCTGCTAGCCGCCGGCGCCAGCTCGCCAGCTGTAAGCCGCCAGCTGCTAGCCGCCAGCTCGCCAGCTGCTAGCCGCCAGCTGCTAGCCGCCAGCGCCAGCTCGCCCGCGCCCGCCCGCCGCTTACCCGCACTAGTCAGCTGCGCCAACTGACTCCACTGCCCGCCAGCTGCCACTGCCAGCGGCGCCTCTCCGCTGCAGCCACTGCCTCTGCCACTGCTGCAGCTTGCTCTGCCGCTGCAGCCACTTGCACCACCGCCGCGGCCACTGTTGCAGCTGCTGTTGCCACTGCCGCTGCAGCCGCTTTAGCTGCCGCTGCTACCACTACCACAGCCGCCACTGCCGCTGCTGCCACTTCCCTTGCAGCCGCCACTGCAGCCGCTACTGCCGCTGCTGCCCTTGCAGCTACCACACCGCCCCCTGCAGCTGCCCCTGCCGCTGCAGCCCACACTGCCACTACAGCCGCTGCTGCCACCACTGCTGCGGCTCGCCCGTACCCACGTAGCCGCCTCCGCTAGCCAGCTCACTGCTGGCTTGCTGCCATCCTCACCTTGCTGCTAGCTAGCCGCCCTCGCTGCCACCGGCTCCTGTAGCAGTCGCCCCAGCTGTTCCTGCTTCTGCCGCCACTGTCTTTCCGGCCGCAGCTGCCAGCATGGCATGGGGAGGGGCGGGCAGTCGGTTTCGCCGCCGGGCAGGAGGCAGTTCTCCTTCAGCTCACGAGTCAGCGCGTCGACGACGAGTCTTTGGGCACCCACGTCTCTGGTGAGCTCCCGACTATACCTCGCCCGGGCGCTCTTGCTCATGACGCGACGTCTGAGCAGCAGGCTGTGCACGCTGCTGCTCGTACTGCCTACTCTATCTGGGCGTCTCGCAACGCCACTGCTCGAGTCGCCATCCTCTGGTGCCTGCCGGTTGCCGAGCACTCCCACTTTGTGGGTGCTGCGTCAGCCCGCGCCCTCTGGCTGGCAATCCTAGCTAGGTACTCCACCCCGTCGTCTGCCACTCTTGGTCGCCTCCTCCCTCTTTTCCACCCTGACCTGGCGTCGTTCACCACTGTAGCAGACTTAGTCGAGCACCTACGTTCTCTCGAGGCTCGCTGTCGTGCGGCCTGTATTGAGGCCCAGCTAGCGCTCGCCCCGCCCCCCCTCTTCGCCACTGTTTACTTCCTTGTCACCCGCCTCCCTGACCGCCTAGCCCCTGCCCGTGACGCGCTCCTTGCTCGTCACCCCTCTGAGCTCACCATTGACCTCTTCTCCACCTCCCTAACTGAGATAGAGGACCGCCTCTGCGCTATCGCCGGTTCCACTGGCACGCGGGCGGTCCCTATTTTTCAGGGCAGCGCTCCCTCCCCAGTAATAGTCCCTGCCTCCGCCTCTGTAGTTGAGACAGTAGCGGCTACCTCTGCCCCTGGCCGCTCATCTGGCGGCAAGGGCAAGGGTCGTGGGGTGTCGGCAGAAGCAGGTGGAGGGGGTGAGGGTGCGGATGGAGAGGGTGGTCAGTCGGAGTCGGGGACTGCACAGCAGCAGCAGCAGCAGCAGCCGCAGCAGTCTTGGGGGCCGGCGAGCCCTGGGGGTGGTAGTCGTGGTGGAGGCTGTGGGGGTTGGGGCCCACGGCTGTCGGTGCCCTGGGAGTCGCGTGGCTCTCCTGTGAGTCAGGGTGCTGGTAGTTCTGGTAGCGCGGTAACCTGCACGTACCAGCTGCTGACTAGCCCACAGGCGGGCCAGGTGTGTGGGCGCGTGGGGCACACCGCCGCTCGCTGCTTCCACCACCTGGACGACCTCTACCGTCATCACTTCGGCCCGCAGGTGCAGGTTCCCCCCTGGCCAGTCTTGCTTCGTCGTGGAGTTCCTATATTTGATATGGATATGATTTAGATAAACCATGCCTTATATTCTCTGTATTTTGATGCTTCTAGTGTTGCTAGTTTTTATTATCCTGCTGTTTGTAGCTAGTTTTTATTATCCTGCTGTATGTAGTCTAGGATTCCGTGCTGCGTCAGGCATAGGACCTGTTAGAGACTCTTCACCGGGCCCCGCCTCGTCGGCCCTCTCCTTTGTCTTAGACTCTGGAGCATCTTGGTGCTTCTTTCGAGACAGTACTCCTCTCACCCCGCTTCCTACGCCTGTCCGCGTCGTACTAGCCGACTCCTCCGCCACAGCTGTCTCACGTAGCACCATCACTCTCCCCTGTCCGGCTGTCCCTTCCGGCTCCCTCACAGGTCTACACATCCCCTCGTTCGCTAGGAACTTAGTGGGTGTCGGTCACCTCCAGGACCGAGGCATCACCACTACGTTCCCTGGCCGCGAGAGACACGCTGCTTGCACAGACACAGTCACCGGTCGATACTTAGCTACCTTTGAGCGTGACCCTGGATCAGGTCTCTTTACCCTGCTCACTGAGTCCCCGCTCACTGCTGCGTCTGCCGAGGTCGCCGCATCCTGCTCCTGTCGCTCACTAGCCCACCCGACCCTTCTGTGGCACAACCGCTGAGGTCACCCTGCACTCCCGCGTCTTAGGCACATGTCCCAGTACAGTCTAGTCACTGGTCTCCCTACGTCGCTCCCCACCTTGCCTCCATCGGTATCGCCACTGTGCACCTCCTGCGTCGAGAGCCGGCAGCGCGCCGCCCCTCACTCCTCCTCGTTTCCTCCTACGACAGCACCGCTACAGACACTGCACATGGACGTCTGGGGCCTTGCCCCGGTCCATGGTCTCAGTCGGGAGCGCTACTTTCTAGTCGTCGTTGACGACTTATCGCGGTTCACCACAGTTTTCCCGTTGGAGCGGAAGGCTGACGTGCTGACCGTTCTCCTCCCGTGACTTCTCACTGTTCGCACCGCCCACCGACTGTGTGTAGGTCGGTTACACTCTGACCGCGGTGGCGAATTCGCCTCTGGCTCAGAATGGGGTTGCTGAGCGACACATCGGCCTGATCATGGAGGTGGCTCGCACCTCCATGGTCCTCGCCGGTGCGCCCCATTTTCTGTGGCCGTTTGTCGTGCGCTACGCTACTCACCAGCTTAACCTGTGGCCGCGCTCCCAGCGACCACAGGTTTCGCCGACCCTCCTCTGGACCGGGTCTCCTGGTGACGTGTTTGCGTTCCATGTCTGAGGCAGCCTTGCTCATGTCCGCGATACTGTCTGCCGCAGGATCGAATAAGGTTTGCTCAATGTTGCACTATCAATCAGTACAAGGTGCTTTTATATTTCCATAATACATCAGGTAACCAGGTTTATCCTATCCAAAGGGAATAGACCCTTCTAGAAATAGAATCACCTTGCGTATAGCCACGTGAGGCTATTGGCTTTAAGGGATTACGCTAGATATAGCACGCCAGTACATTCCGAGCCTGGTCGGTGATATAATCATCATAACAGGATAAACCGAAGGATTATGGAGAAGGAGAAATAGGAAACCAAATGCGATGAGATAAAAACCAAATGAATCAGGATAAAAAGAGGAATGAAATAGAAACGAAATATGGAAAGGGGAAGTTGGTGTAACAGTGTCGTACTCTCACACTTCCCCCCCTTAAAGCTGGGTGGTAGAAGTAACACCGTGCTTGACAAGGTAGTCGCAAAGAGGACGACGTGCACTACCCATGTCGAATTCAGAGACGCAGCCTCAGAAGGATGAGAACCTTTCCAGCAAAGAAGAATCCCCAGAGTGTCGTGCCGACGAGGGCGGGCGGCGGCAGTGGTTGGCGTTTGGTGTAGAGTGTGTTTGGTCTTGATACGGCTGAAGATGCTGGTATGGAAGGCGTTATGGATCTTTCAAGTGGCTGGTTGACGGAAGCGGAAGTTGTCTGAAGTGCGCTTTGCTTCAACGATGATAGACCCACAGAAGCAAGGTTGAAGCTTGGATGGAGGATGGCTGATGTGAAGATTACGGTCCAAAAAACGGTAGTGATGAGTGGCCAATTGCTTCTGCTGCTGCTGGATGTCCAAGAGGCACTTGTGTGGCCGATCTACAAGATGGTGGATGATGGTGATGAAATCGGAAGCCAGTTGGACTGTAGCAAGAACTGTATGTTCTTAGAGCTGATGGACAATGGTGCAAAAGTTGTTCAACAATCCGATTGAGCCACGCTGTATGTCCGTCGGGTTGTAGATGGTATGAAGATGGTGCTGATCGTGGTCGAGATGTTGTAGCGGAAGAGTGGATGTACTGTCCTTTCGGTGGGTGCTCTAACTGGCACATTGTAGCATGCTTTGAGTCTCGGGTAGCACATCCTGGTGTTACTCGCACTTCTTCCAGATTTGAAGATGACAAAGTGTTGATGGTATGGCGGTCGTGTCACAGTACTGCTTATGTAG